CTGAAAAGATGAATTTTCTCAAGGGTTTTTACAGCTTTTCAAAAAATTTACGTTGCAAACAATGTTTTGTGTTCCTTAAATCCCCCAGACTTCTCAAAAGTTTTCACAAGTTTTCTTCTTGTCCACGCATCTGAAGGAATCAATGAATTGGTAACACACTTCCATCAGTGATAAAAAAAGCGTACGTATATCAGATTCGTCTCTCAGCCAGTTCAAAAACTTCGTATACAGCTCTTTGGGAGATTTTTGGTAATGTCCTGACTTTCCACGCAAATCCGTCAACCACTGGAAAAATCACCTAATCAAAATAGCAATAATCACGAAGTATGATTGCTCGATGATTCTTATACCGGCGTATCGAAAAGGAACGAAAATTCAAAGCAAGAATCAGTTTATTACAAAAATGATGTAAGATGATAAAAAAATTAAGCCAAAACTTTCACTCACCAGAAACGAACTTAATTGAATGAAATTGAAATTTGTAGCGAAAAGTATAATAACTTTAGTTTCAACTCCTTGTTCCACAATCTACTTCCACAGGAACAGAATATTGGAAGATCAATTTTTGTTACAATTTTTTCAATTTCTTAGTGATTTTTAACTTCATAGATAAGCATATAAATACCTTATGAGTCAATCTTTCCACCCTATCTTCCAGTTCGTTCACAAGAAAGCATATATGATCGAGCTTGCGTGGATCCTCGAGAAACTCATCATTAATCACCTATATAGAAAGTTTTGTCTAGCGAAATCTGGAGGAAAACAAACTTACTTTGATCGAAGTTTTTACTCTATATTTCCAACAATAAACACAGTTAAAAACTTTGTAGTGAACGTTTGTACGGCCATGGCAAAATACGTAAGCTTTTCAGTTCCTGGAATGGAATACACCAGCACATCATATTTTCCTCCTAAACTTACCTGTTTTACCCCTTTAAATCTCGGAAGAAAACCGATTTCGTCTGGTGTAAGGGGCTTGCTTCGTGGGGGAACTTCGTGTTTACCAGAGACACACAATTTTGGATTTTTGGGAGGCGAGAAAGTCTCTAGTTCCCAGTCAAAAAAGGTGTCAAAAGACATTGAAGTGCTAAGTGGTGCAGGGATGATTTTTTCAGAGGTGAGGGCCAAAAAATCGTCTTGAAGATTTGACAATTCAGATTTTTCTCTATGATGTGCAAACAAAGGTGTTGCACGGTAATCCATGGACATTTCATTGTATGCAGAGTGAGAATGCGTATATTCGACATTTGAAGAGGTTGCAGAGTTCAAGTTTTGCTCATTTGAGTCAGAAGATAGATCTAGCAAAGGTGGTGAAGTACAGCGACGCGCAAAGATAGAATTTCTCATTAGTAAATTTTGCTTGCGGATTTTTGATAGCTGCAAACCTTTATTTGTAGAAAACACAGACGAAGATGGCACAGAATCATCAACAAAAGTTTTATGAAGTGACAAACGAGAACTTGACTGGGAATCACTAGGATGCTTGCGATGAGGTGCAGGAACAAATGAAGAAGGCATGCGACGAGGTGCGGGATTAAACGACTTTGGAAATGCTCCAGTGTTTGGCAAACTTTCAGGTGATTTTGTGTAGACTGCATTAGGACCACGGTAATAGGTATTATCAGCTAGAGGCGTCTTAGCATCGAACTTATATTCTGAAAGATGCATCCTAAAGGATAGAAAAAAAATGTCAAGTATGGGACCTCGTCATGCTTTCTCCCTTTTATACCTGCCAGTCAGGTCAGTCTGGGTAACGGTCAATTACCTCATGACATATCCATGCCCTGACACTCCCTTTTTACGTTGCTAAGGTCATAGATATGCAATCGTGCCACGATGCCATGCCGGAGGAGCGATTTTGCCATTGAAAACATGAAGGACCGGCGGCGGTCCAGGAGTTCCCAAAGCCTCGCCGCCTTTCCTTGCAGGGGTACTTAGCACGCCCAAGGCGTCCTCGCACTTCTCAGACGGCTCCGCCCATTTGCCCCGCCCACTGGCTAATTTCATTGCGAGTTGTGCAGGTTCGGAGAATACTTCTCAAGTGTTATGGATGAATAATGAAGGATGGAAAACAGACTAGAGTTTATGAGATCTACCATTTGGACATGTTGCCTTTACAATATACGAACGCGAAATTTACTACTGAGAGATCTTTTGACCATGATGCATTAGTGTGGGCATCACATTGTCAGAAAATTCCTTTTTCGACTTTCAGCCGAGATAAGTGTACATATACGTTTGGTTGAAAATATGTCTATTGAGCAAGTTGCAAGTGTCCCAAATGTCTGACGGACTTTCGACTTTTTGATTTTTCGGTCAGTTGGATTTTTCTAGTTTTTGGTTACAACTTCGTATAGCTCAAATTTAATGCAAATAAAGTACACATAGGATCACAGAATCTCTATAAAACTGAAAAAATATGACACTTAATGTCTATCTACTATACTTATTACATCGATGCAATAGTTTCGTCTAAATCAGAGGGAATCCGATAATTCGCTAAAATCCAAACCCAGATTCATGGCTTGTTCAAGACGTGAGTTTTGCCCTTCAAGATAGTTACCCAAAATCAACTTTTCGTTGGCTATACTCAAAGACAAAGATACAGGCTTCTAAAGATTGCACTTGAAAGTTCGTAATTTTGAGTTTGGTATTGAATAGTAACAAAGTGCCGAAAGCATCCTCAAGAAATTTCTGGGATGGTCATAGCAATCTTCCGTACGTGGCAAGCTTTGACCTATGGTAATGTGGAAACACAGAAACTGTGAAAAATATTCTTTTGCAGAAAATTACCTTCTTACCAAAAATATCACTCAGTGCTAACTTTGAGTACTGTAAGGCCTTCTCGGGTACATTGAAGGGTTTCTACTTATAAAATGCAATAATAAGGGAATTTACCTTCCATGATTTTCCACGAATTTTTGCATTTGCATATCTATGCTATTCCCGCACTCCGCAGTCTCCGAAGGAGACCAATAAAGGAGTAGAGAGATAGGCGGGGCTTGACCTCTGCGCGAAGGTGCGACGAGCCTTCTGGAGTGTGAATGCTTTTGCGAATGGAGGTGCTAGGAACTCCTGCGTCCCCTCCATCCTGTAGTATAGCTAACAAAAAGTTCGTACATGGACTGCGTTACTGATTCAAGAAATTATCTCTTCCAATACATGTCAACTTGCTGTTTGATACCTAGGAGTTGTTCTAATATCGCCTATCAAACTATCCGATCACGGATATGTGTGGCACCTTTTTTAGCAATTGAATTCTAGGATAGTTGAATAATATACAAAGACTATTGACATCGTATCTTTTGTGCTTGTGTACTTTTTAATTTTTATACAGATCTTCTCTCTTCTATAAGCAAAACGGCTGATCTGAATCTTGAGAATGGTTCGTAAAATTTTTGAAAGTTGTTTATATGGGTATGGAAATATACACGTTACATGTTTGTACTTACACTTAGAAAGATTTTGATTTCAAAATCCAAATAAACTTTGTAACATTTTTCTCAATTTTGAAGTTATGGACCTGCAAAGATTTGGCATCCCAGAAAATTTTAGAAGTGCCTGACTACTGCCACACACGTTTATTCAAAGAAAATTTTCGTCCCTTCCCCCTTCCGACGAGGAAATCCTGCGACCGCCACTGCCGACCAGATATAAGAAATCTCAGTATTGGACCAAGCTAACACATTAACTTATCATCTTGACTCATTTAAGGGAGATTGTTCCGATTGAGAATAAGAAAGATAATGAAGAATTATTTCTACTTTTGTTGATCAGGCATTGTTCGCATAAAACATAGATAGATGGTGGGTATTTTCCTTTATTTTGATAGAAAACACACTGCAGAAGAAAAAAACGACGCTGATTTTTCGAAAAATTTGAACACGATCGGTATGCTCCTATTAAGTTCGAATTAGTCTAACCTATAAAAATATTTTAAATGAGTTTGTGCTCAAAATTATGTTTGCTTTAGTATTTCTTCTGCGAAAATGCAGACCTCAACTGAAAAATTTATAGGATATTAAACGGAACTTGCATGTTATGAAATGTAATGAAGGCTGTTATGATCCACATTGTTTTTGTTTGATGGAAAGTGCTCTATACGCTTTTCTTTAAACAAAACCTACAAGACTTTCTGAGCAAATAGTCCGTTTGAATACTGTAAACTTCTGTGAAGTTTGAGCAAAACAAGAAGTACGACCCAGCGGCAACAATAAGTTTAATCATATTTGTTTGGTCAAATGTACAGTGGTGTTTTGTACTTGGATACTATTTCAAGTGTGCCTTTAATTGAGCAAATTTTGAATCTATTACCCACAGAAATGAGACTGAGTTTCACTTTAAAATTGTTGTGGCGTCATTATTGCAGAGCCGGAAAAAATGGTTAATAAAAGGCCTCAAAGTGTACGTTAACTACTATAAGAGACAAGAAAGGCTAGAAAAACGAAGAGCATTGAGTATTGTTGAAGCAAAAATCTGATAGACTGCGTTTTCTACATGGAAAGTGATAGAGTGGCCTTAAGCAAATTATTGTTCAAAGGCAGCTCATATGGTTCATTCGTCACCAAGAAATCTAACTCCGAACTTCAGCCCAGACCGTACCCTCTACTCCACTCAACGCTAATTGGTCGCTTCGTGGAAAGTGCGGTGTGGGCGAGAGCTTGGAACTAAATTTCATGACTACGAATAGATTACGTGAGCTGGCTTTGGAAAACTTAGTTGATTCCTACAAATAAGTGCTACAGAAGAAGTCCAACTGCTCTGATTTGCCTGAAGTATGCCTTTGAGCAAATGTTTGACATTGTAGACTTTTAATGAAGTTTCGAGAGAAAGGGATGAAAGGAACTGCTTCAACTGGAAAATTTATTCAGTTGCATTATAAACAAGAATATACATTGTATCCACAAGCTTCGTATTTATCCGTACTTGTCGTTGATCTATTCTTGCTGTATAAAAGAGGTGTAATTCCAGCGGATTTCAGTTTCGCTTTCCCCACAAAGATGTTGAAACTCCTAGCTCTTGGAGCGGTAAGTCAACTTTCCCTTTACTCTTTAAACTAGTCTGTTCAAACTCAACTATTTGTAGTTGTTGCTGATTGCTACCACTCACGCCAATCCCGTTGTTGTGGGTACGTTTGTTCAAGCTATCTCCGCATTTTATCCCAGATAATTCAACTTTTTTAGGGAATGCCGAAGCGGCGGGAGACCCTGAAGTAAGAACAAAGTTGTGACTACTGTAAAAATTTAACATTAGCATAGTAAAGCTGAGGATGATATGCTACCATCAAGTATTGTCAAAATTCAACCCTGTAAAGCTCATCCTCTCATCAAATGGAGAATAGATGGAAATTTACACTAATAATTACTTTCTTTCAATCAACTTCACAAGAACAATGGTGTTGAAAGAAATTGTGTACCTTCAATCAAAAATTCCTGTTCATCGCAAGAGCATACAATAAAATCTTTTTCAGCCTGGAACGCCTGCTAATGAAGAAAAGAAACAGGTACGTTTTTTTTGAGCATTCAAGATTAATTTCGATGCTGTGCTCACCATCACTTATTTGCAGTACGCCTAAAAATAGAGGAAGTTGCTAATGAAGAGGGAGGGGGGGGGGGGGGAATTTAAGCTATAATTTGGGCTGTTACGCATAGAATTCGTTTCTTCATGCTCTGTTTTTGAATGCGAGATATAAAATCTCATGGTGTCTAAGAAATATTAGTATTTACTTTGTAACAGGTCTTAATTAGGTTTTCCACTCCAAGAAAACAAATTCTTAACGGGGATTGGGTTGATTAGCATTGTTCTTTCTTGATAGAAGAAGGCATTTATACTATCAGGAGGAATCTGAAGAAGAAGAAGAGGAAGAGGGCGAAGACGAGGAGGAGGAGGAAGAAGAAGAAGAAGAAGAGGAAGAAGAAGAAGAAGAAGAAGAAGAAGAAGAAGAAGGAGAACAGGGAGAAGAAGGACCAGCAACAGCAAATAACCAACAAAATGAACCACAAGATAATGGAAAAAACAGCGGAGTTGAAGTGAGCTACGTTACAAATGATTTTACGTGCTTAGCGATGTCTTTGAGTAATGTTGGGCTTATATTTTCAGGCGGTAAGCAACGGAGACCAGGAACTCTCAGAAACTCCAACTCATGGTACTAATGGAGAGAATGCAAGTTTTCCGTTGTGTTTACAAACAAATCTGACGTATACAAAAGTAGCTGTGTGTATAATACATTTACATTTAGAACGGTGGCTCGCAAGATGTTTCAGTTGCTCCTGAGGTGAGCATAAGCTATCGGCTCTATAAATAGTATGGATACATCTTTCAGTCTCCACTTCCACCTGATGCGGAATCTCCCGTTGTTGCTCCCAGACCTGACGTAAGCTTTTCATCGTTTGAATTCACTTACAAGGCGTTTCCACAGCTCTACAAATAGTATAGACTCATCTTTCAGTCTCCTGAAGGGGAACCTGCTGATAGTGATGATAAAAATGATGTAAGCTTTTGATCGTTTGAATTTACCCACAATGCGTTTCTAGCGCTTTTTCCATTTAAATTAAGTACATCCTTTAGCTGAAGTGTTGTTGATACGCCGAAGCTCTCAGTATTGTTCAATCATCAGTGCTAGCGTGAATATGATGTTCATGGTACAGAGAAGAAAAGACTGCGGAAAGACACATGACCAACGCATAATGTTGTCGTGCTGAAACAATTTTGAATTCTGTCAGCATGACAGGAGCACTTTACGATCCCTCGAAAACGTTTACTGCTCTATCTTTCTGGAATGACGTTTTCAATCAGGAGCCGGGAGCTGAAGCAGTACAGGGAGGACCAGCTGGCCCACCAGGACCCGCAGGGCCTCCAGGACTACAAGGACCTGCAGGACCGCCAGGGCCGCCAGGACCCCCTGGACCACCTGGACCACCTGGACCACCTGGACCGCAAGGACCGCCTGGAAAGCCCCCAGCACCACCACCAGCTGCAGCAACTCCAAAGAAACCGAAGACAGTAAAAAAGAAGGGGAAGCCTGGCAAGTTTAAGAAGGGCGGCAAGAAGGGAAAGAGCAGGCCAAAGAGGTCAATTGCAAGGGTAAGACATATTTTATTGCATGAGGTTAGTTGTTATAGTTCAAAATTTTCTCTTGTAGAAAGTGTTCTCGATCAATGGCTAAGGGAGGATGAAGGCTAGAAGTGAGTTCACATCCTCGATGTTGCTGTAGGTAATCGCTGAAAGATCCTTAATGATAAGAGATACGAATAAAAACTAGCAGAACAACTCAAATACTGATAGCAGAAGTTCGACTTCAAACTCTGGCGGTTTTCTTTTTTGCTGTTCTAATTGTAAAATCAAATTATATTTTACAGGTTGAAACATCCCAAACTACATCTTTGTTCTGGCAGCATTTGCCTGAATAAACGTTAACATAAAACAGTGTACCACATGCCCACCATATACGATATTCGAATGCGGCAAAAATAAGCAATATTCCTTTCCATGAAAAACAAAGCTAAGGGGAGTTTGCAGATTCTTTTGAGAGTCGATACAGCAGCGGATATTTGACTGCCTTGTTGATCGAGTCAATATGAATGCTTCTAATCTCAAGAAGACTAGAGTTGATATACATGGGACGAAATGCTTTGTGAGGTCAACCTTGAAAGTTGTATAGCAAATTTCTCAGCTCTCTTGCATTGTAACTATTCAGATAAGTTCAAATTATAACGTCCAAGTCAACGTCGCGAAATGTCCCAAAATCTGCTAAGAATGGTTCAATCTGAAAAGCACTCACCGGACCTCAAAAAAAAAATTGTGGAGTCGCATTATCTGGATTAAACGGGCAACAATCTGAATAACGACTGCAGTCTCAAGTGGCAGCTCTCAAAATTCTCGTTTCAAACGAGAGAATCTATAAATGTGTAAAATTTTCAAGCATAGTTACTTTGCAGCTCTCCGCAGTTACGTCGTGTCTGTGTACCCAGCTAAAAATAGTTTCAATTAGATCAGAACTGCATGCTCACAAGAATCTATATCTGGACATCTTTCATATTTCAACTATATCTTCTAGCACTATCATTGTGCCTGAGTGTGTGTCATAATATTTGGCTTCTCGAGTCTTAGTCAATCTCGCGGATACTCTTAGACGCCTGTAAAACTACTCTTCAAGAAATAGTAGCGCGTATGTATACCGTGGCTAAATTAAAAGCGAGTAATGGTTTTCTTTGTATAGAGAGATATTTCGGTACTTTTCCGTTATCCGGACCCATTTTTACAAAAGGCTCTTACAGAATATGTTTTTTAGTCTAGAAACAATTTTTCATAAATTCTAAGAGGACTGTCTCCCCGCCACGTGTCAGCGAAAATTTGACACGTTTCAGTCCACTTCGACATGTTTTTTAAGATCATTTCCGGTGAGGTAAAAGAGCATTCGTGATCACCTAAAAGCTGTGCAACTCTTTTCTATGAGAGCAAAACAATCTAGAACCATTATTAGAACATCTTGATCACTTCTAGCAATGATTCAAGATTGTCTTTCTCTTCAAACTTTCAGCCATGCGAGTTTAGCCAAGAAAGATTGTAAATGATGGCTTAAAGTACCTCACTGCTGTTTGTTCCGCCGCTTAGATGATGGAACCTTAGCGCACTTTTCTATTCTGGGCAAGTCTAATCTGTACACTAGTGACAGTATGACCTCATTATTATGAAAATGTTCATTTTTGATGGTGTTTAATTGAAAATGGGGTCATTATTGATTGAAAAACAAGTTGAACTTACGTCGCTGGATAGGGTAACCACAAACTCCTGGTAAAACTTGTTAAACATGTAGATGGCATGTCAATTTTTTTTGACACGTGGCAAAAGGTTGACACTTCTTACTATGAAGTTAAAACCAGATATAGTACAAGGAATGAAGCATTATCCTTCTTTGAAAAAATAGGTCCGGATAACGGAAAAGTACCGATATTTCTTTTTTGATCCCAGAAGAAAAGCCACAAGTTCTTCTGCCTTAAAGAAGATCTACTGCAAAGTTGAGCAAAAGTGTTGCAATTTGAAACCGTGCCCTTATTAACTGCTGTACGATACTATAGTACGAACATAGTTAAGGGCTAATCAATTGCTGATTGTTTCAGGTTTTTCAAACATTGCAGTCACAAAGTTACTGAAACCGAAAATCAGTTTCGTTATGCAGGCTAAGACAATTAGAAAATTTATAGAACCTAGTTCCACACTCAAAGTGATTCTAAGCCTGAAATCAGCGTGATAATATAATGAAAATTCATTCTTTTTAAACCTTTGAAGGACCTTTTTTTGGAATCTTCGCATTTATCTAATAGAAAGGCAACTCGATTTTGGGCATTGAAATTATATACTAAAAGTTGCAAATCTCGTCTTGCAATCTTGTCCGTTTCAAGATTTCCAAAGTGGGGTCTTCTCAAATAGACTCAACAAGCACAGATTGAGTTATTTCAAAACTACGGTGAGAAGTGCGAAAAGTTGATTAGTCTAAAATACTGTGCTCATTGTCCTTTGACAATTGTCATTCTAAATTACAGTACCCACACTAATTATTCGACAGAAAACGCAAAAACTGACGATCCGCGTTTTTTTCGTTTTTTCTTCATAACTTCCTTCAGATTGCATAGAATACGAATCCGATTTGAGCGTAATGTCCAGCTCGTCAAGGTGAATCTTCTGATATACTGCACTCTCTTACCATTTCGTTTTCATTCTGCTCGATTTTTGTGTGAGGAAGGGTTTTCGTAGTGGCGTAACTCAGCGAAGAGCACACACGGAAGATTCATGTAAACACAATTCGGTAGAACTGTTCCCGTAGATTATCATGTACTAGCGATTAGCGAAGGATCCCTTTTCCGTAGAGAAAGATAGGCCGTTGAATTTTGAAAAAATCGACGTCTCTCAAATTTTAGCTACCGTAACCATACAGTAAGACTCTAATTTGCAAAGCAGGTGTGTTTTTCGTGATCAGCAGGCTAGATAACCTCTATGCGCAAGTTTTCCAAGAAATTCGGGCCCTTTGATTTTTTTCCCGTTTTAGCCTGTGAAGCTCGCCGACGGGTTTTGGCTAAAATATTGATGATTTTGGATTGAGCGGAAACTTCGCCAATAGGGGTTTTCGGACTCGCTGATTACGAAAATAGTGCTCTTTGTGCAGCGTAAGTTCTTTTAGCAGAGTTATGCTGAGAGGAATGCTGCGATACTACGCAAGTTCCTAAACTTGTCTGCCACTTTCGCGTATCTGTTAGACAAATCACCTGCTCTTTTCTGTAATTTGAAGTCACTAGAGACATTGCTCTCACAGCATGCTCAAACTAAGCCTTTATCTATATTGATCGCCGAACTGTGAGCATACGAACTCACGTCCTCATGAAAATCGTTCAAAATTTCAAGATCGCATATTTTGGCCAAATATCACCGAGAATGGTTACAGATCACTCTGATTGCAGATATTATTTTTATGTACATATGTAGCTTGATAATCTTGATATAGCATACTTGCTTACCCCCTAAGTCAACTCTTACATCTGTAGCTGAAAGTTTGCAAAAAAGCAATAGAGTCGGTAAAGGTAATTCCTTTTAGAAACTAACATTGTATCCGTAATCAGCACGCTCACTCACCTACTTATACCAATTCCCAGCCCGGTAGCTTAAAGTTTGCAAAAAAGTCGATAAATCGATATTGACCGATGACGAAATGTAGTCTACGAGACCAGCTCGGCCCCTAAGTTGTGTGCAAAGTTTGGTCTGCATTTGTTCAGAGATGCAGTTCCGTTGGGAACATACGCACAGACACACAGACACATGACAAACAGACATTCACTCAAGTATGTTAGAGATAAATAATAACAATGACAGTTGGAATTCTGAAGTCTGCAATCTTTATCGTTGATCACTAGGTGGAGATAAAAGCGTGGGCCATTTACTATATGCAGTTCTAAGGGTTAATTTGCTATTTTACTTTTGTTCATCTTATCTACCAATTTTTTTCTCTCATTAACGTTGAGAAGAGTTCAGAGTCGTCTTCACAAAACATTCTGTCTCAACAGGGGTCAGGCTGAACCGTTGGCTTAAAGGCAGTGTCTCACCAAAATTTAGTTGCCGAGATTTCTGCATCTTGCAAGCCTGTCGGACCCTATCTAGCATTGTATGGGCTTAAAATAGCACGAAATTCCCAAAAACCCCGTTTTGTGGAGGCCCCTCGAAGCAACGTGGACGAGTTGTGCCTTCCAACTTCAGCCTCAGCCACAGTGAGCAACAGAGATGAGGTGGATGCCAAGTAGAGGGAGATGTTCAAACGCGTAAGGGCGGAGACCGAAGGAGTCGTCCGCGCGTACCAAATCGCTCTCCGCGTACCACTTTGAGCGAATTTTTCTCAGCGCGGAGGGGGTCAAATTGGGTGGGACCTGTTGCAATGGCCTATTT